AGTCATCTCTGAAGAGGACTTGATCTCTTGCCTGTGACATGCCCCACATGTTTCTTCTGCACCTCATGGACACCCATGCTTATCGGACCTATGGACTCCCAGGCTTGTTATTTTCTAGTCTCTCTTCTCCATGGTCTGTTATCAACTGCAGTTTTGAATTCAAGGCTATCTTATTCTTTGTCTCTAGGCAAGTGAACATGTTAGCGTTTTCCTAATGTTGAGAATTATGTGGTTAAAATGTAGAGAGTTAATTGTAATGAGTGATTGTGTTAAGCCCTTCTATGGTTTCCAGCAGTGAGGAAGGATAGATACTGCTCTTCTGCTTGGTGTTATATAGTAATCGCCACTGTTCTTACAATTTCAGTGCTAGCTCACTCAGTGCTTTATTTTTCAGTGAACTGTACCGTAGTCAGAAGAATTTAGAGATGGATAATAAGGAAGAAGTCATAGAGTAGGGAGTGCGAAAGCTGTGCTCATTATCACTTTAAATTTTCATGAAGTGTGCAGAGTAACTAGAATCAGCAAGTCCATTTCTATTTGCAAGTTTACCAGATACATGTTTTTTTTTTTTTTTTTTTTTTTTGAGACAGGGTCTCACTCTGTCACCCAGGCTGGAATGCAGTGGCAAAACATACGTCACTGCAGCCTTGACCTCCCAGTCTCAGATAATTCTCCCACCTCAGCCTGCTGAGTAGCTGAGACTACAGATGTGTACCACCACACCTGGCTAATTTTTAAATCATTTGTAGAGACAAGGTCTCCATATGTTGCTCAGTCTGGTCTTGAACTACTGGGCTTAAGTGATCCACCCACCTTGATCTCCCAAAGTCCTGGGATTACAGGTGTGAGCCACTGCACCTAGCCTAGGGGATTTTTTTTTTTAAAGAGAAAATGCCAGTCAAATAGGCCATTGATCATGCAGAAAAACGAATAAACTTTCAACTTACACTTACATACATAAAAAATTAGGTAAAACATTTCACAAAAATTACAGAAACCTAATTCATAGCTAAGGAGTTTCAGTGGCATGAGAATATTTTATTGTGCAATTTAAGTACTTTATTTAATTCCATTAGAAATCATGAATCTGCAATAAACAGCAAAAATGGCTCAAGAGCACACTGATGATACAACCTTTCTGAAGAGCTAAAATGAAGCATTTGAGTCTATTCTATTTTAATGACACAATACCCATTTTTCTTTACTCTTTAACTCAACAGTTAAAGCAATGCTCATTCCTGTTAGTTACATTTTTAAACTTTAAATTTGTTGTGAACAAAAATTAAACATCTGGAAATATGTAAATTCTCTTACTACAACAAACCAGCTTCAAGATTCTCTAAAATATAATTATCTACCTCTAAGACTCTAAGGCCAGATTTCATGGCCAGGAAGTAGAAAGGTATATAATCTTTAATGGACTTTTAGTTCATTTTGCCAGCTAAATAGTAATTCAGGAAAGATTTAAACTTTGAAAATAAAAATAATTTTTGAAACATGATTTCTTAGAAACCCATCCACTTGCCTTGGTTCCTTCAATAAACAGATTCTGTTTCGTAGTGGTGGGGTGGCATTTGACATTAGTGAAAATTTGAAATCTTGAGATTTAGGGAATAGAGAATAGTTGAAACAATCTGTATTAGTTTTGTTTTTTTCTCCTATGGATCAAAACTGAACTACAGACTCATGGTGCGCTCTCTTAGGCATTCAGGTGAATTTGTTTTTCTTGTTTAGTTCAGTTTTGTGGATAGAACTGCACTGTGGTAATACGGTACAGTTTAAAAACATTTGAATAAATAAGTTACTTCAGCAATTCTTAGTGCTCCTGAAATTCTAGACCAGCCATTTGTAAAGTAATTTGCTTATAACATTGACAGCAAACTTAATTAGCAAATATTTATTTATTAAACAGATCTAATATGCTTCTTTACAAGTGTAATGTGTTAAAAAGAGAAAGATTTTTATTTAGTCTTCTCTACCGAATTAAAAACATGCTCAAAAGATGAGTCCAGGTGATACATTCAGTGGCTGCAAATGCTTAGATTAGTTACTGAATGTATTACTTGGACTCATCTCATAAATTCTAGAATCATCAGAAACCTGTGAGCAGAGAAAAAATAAGGCACAATGTGAAATATAAAGAAATATGAAAGGAAAAGGCAATTTGTTATTTCATAAAATATTAACAGCATCTCTATTTAAAGAGCTGATATTTAAGAGGGAACATGAGCAGTAGAGAGAGGGGATTTTTAATTTTTTTTTTGGCTATGTTGCAGTAACCAGAAGAATCTAAATAACTTTCCTGTAATGTTTCAAGATTCAGTGTCATACATTTGACTTTAAAGAAAGCACATGTTACAAAAAAGAAACCAACATGTATTCTTTGCTAAGGAATGGGAGGATTGGTTGGGGCTTTGAGATATGCTTCAGAGAACAATGTGGGTGGGGAGTTTTTAAATGAAGTATCCAACTTGCACCGCATTCAGAAAATTTTTATCATATCACAGACAGTCCCTTGATTTTAGTAACACATGGGATTTTACACTTTCTCTGAGCAATTCAAGTTTCCTTCTCAGAATCTTTTTAACTGTTCAGCCTAAATTGTACATGTCATAAACTAAACACTTTATGAGCTTAAATATAAAATGATTTCTAAAATACAGTAGAAATATTATTTTAGGAATGAAAATTTTTAGTAAGATTTGAAAATTCTTATTTAATGTTGTACTCAAGCAAAAGATTTTCTACATAGGTAAAACAGATTCCAGTGTGGAATGCATCTCTTTCCCTCTGTGCTTGGGAGTGTGTATTAAAGCCTTTCTATAGTAGAAGGTAGATAATCAGAGATTAAATTTTGAAATTCATTAATCAAAATACCTTCTTTTTATGTAATTAAAAATTCAAGTATGGCAAATTGTATTTACTTTAATAGGTGTTTAGAGAAAAACATAGAACATAAAAATAATAATTGGTTGAAAATCAATTTTAAAAATCAATACAAAAATAAAAATTATAGAATTTAAGAGATCTATTCTTGGAAAGCTATCCTAGCTGGCCATATTAAAGAATAAGATTATGTACTGATTCTCTTCTAAGTAAAGTTTTAAAACATATGTAGTATAAACCAGAGGAACTTTGTTAGATAAAAACCTTGGTTAGTTTAAGAACCTTATAGTTTAACTGAGGCAATTGGACATTTTGGATAATTTTCTTTCCATAAACCTTTGTCTTCCTAAAATTTTATTGAAATGAAAATGCTCATTTCATTTTTTCAAACTTTTCCATTTTTTCAATTTTTTCAAACGTGAATGCATTCTTAAATATAAACTTTTTTAAAAGACTATTTGAATTTTACTCATAAATGAAGTTTCGAAAGAACACGATCTTACAACCATTGGGCATGAGTCAACATGGCCTTTTGATAAATAAATCCCATTAAATGAATTGACTTTCTAAAAGCTGAAATAATCATTATCATAAATGCACCCCCTTCCCACTTCAAGAAAAATTTTTAAAAACCCTGTCTAGACAGAGTTGCTTATATAGTTACGGTTTGATTTTATAATTCCTGGAATATAGTACAAACACCTACTATTAGCTGGGCAGCTATTTTATGTCAGACACTTTTTCAGAAACTTTTCATGGTTTCTCATTTATTTTTCAGTAAAAGTAATGGGGGCAATTATATTTATATTCCAGATAGCAAAAATGAGATCTCAGAGAGGTTAAGTGACTTGTCCCAGATTGTATTGTGAGTGGCAGAGGCAGCATTGGGATATAAATCTGTCTTTCTGAGGCCTCTGTTCTTTGCCTCAAACCCCAGCTGCTTTGCCCACAGCCAAGACAGCACTGGCTCTTGGATGACAAACTGTTTCAGTTTTCTCAGGAAAGAGAGGTTCCTGGAATGTGGGACTTTCAGTGCTAAGCCTGAGAAAGTCTCTGGCCAAACCAGGCAAGTTGGTCATTTTATCTGCAGGCATTTATCTCACGGCTAATGCATAGTCAGCAAGGCCATGCTGCTCTTCCAGAAGCTTCCTATTCCTGTGACATTATCTGCACAGCAAGACAATTGCTCAAATCAGTTAGGTCAAACTCAGAGAGGGGTCTCCTGGAATAGCTGAATAGCTGTGCTGGCCAGTGCTTCACAGATTGAGAACTGAGCCTGTTATTTATCAATCAATCCCAGTCTTTCATACAACTTCAGAACTCTCAGATACAATGTTTGAAACATTTATCACAGCCCAGGACTCCTATTAATTAAAGAGAATATTAATCAAAGACATTATTTGCATCTCTTGTCTCTAATGCAAATAGAATTGGGGTATTCTCTGATCACAATGCTTTACTTATTAATATAGTGTGTCCCTTAGCAGCTCTTTACTTTTCCTTAATCTAATGTATTACCTTGCTAAAAAGGTTTTTTTTCCCCTCGCAGTGGAATTTTTAAGTTTCTTGATAGTTAAACATATGCCTTTAGGTCAGCATATTAAGTAATATCACAGATTCTGAGGACATACCGCTAGTTTCTAGCTGTTGACCCTGAGCAAAGTTACTTAACTTCTCTTTACCTGGTTTTCTTATCTATAACATAGGGACAATAATAGTTCTTACCCTATAGGGTTATTTGTGTGGATTAAGTGAGTCAGTTTATGTAAGGCATTTATAATAATACCTGGCACAAAGAAAGTACTCTAGAAGTGCTAGCTACATTAATATGTATGCTTTTACTGATCTTGGATAATACCATGCTGTTCTTTGTGTGGGGCACTCAGTGTTATAATCGATGACTTGGCCATAGTTGGGAATATTTGACATCTAGCTGTATGCTGAAGGTTTTACAGCTACCTTTTCAAAGAAATAGAAACCAGTTAGTTCCCTGTTTTCAATGTTCTAATCAATCTTATGGTAGAACTAAGACTATAGTCAATCCTACTGGAATTTAGAAAGGCAGTAGTTTGAATTTGAGGCTAAGAATGGTCTTACCTCTATATAAATTGAGAGAAAGATCTCTGGTACTACTTTTCCCTCTGTAAATTAAAAATGATTTATCAATGTTGAAACTAGTTCTATTAAAGAGAAAATACTTCCCTATTATTTAAAATACACTATGGAGGCTTAACATTTCTGTGCACCACTTTAAAGTAGTGGACTAGGATCTCTAAAACAACGTAAGATTGCAAAGCAATGAGTCTTGGTAGTGGCCTGAAAAGATCTGCCTATTAATACACGAATGTGCTTTCATTAAAATGTAAATTTCAAGTGAGGAAAACTACATCATTGTAATTTTGTCCAGAGACTGACATGCACTTTAGGATACATGCCTTTTTAAACTGCCATGTGAGGTTTAAATATGTTCAGCAGCTGTCTGCCACGTCCACTACATTGTTCTGTGATTCAGAATATTTATTGACATAGTGAATCATTCTACCCTTGGTTAATCAAGAGAAGCTGCAATTGATTTAAGGAGGAATGGCATGGTGTATATACAGAAAGCAGTTGGGTTTTAGTAGCAATTGAAGTGTGTAGGCATAAAAACAATAAATGGAGGTACAGATTTGAAGGAACATATATGGATTCCAATAGCATGGCTTATTGATTGATTGATTGACGGAGTCTCACTCTATCCCCAGGCTAGAGTGCAGTGGCACAATCTTGGCTCACTGCAACCTCCGCCTCCCAGGTTCAAGTGATTCTCCTACCTCAGCCTCCTGAGTAGCCCCCCACACCCAGCTAATTTTTTAATTTTTTAATTTTTTTTTTTTTTTTTTAAGGAGAGACAGGGTTTCACCATGTTGGCCAGGATGGTCTCCATTTTCTGACCTCATGATCCACCTGCCTCGGCCTCCCAAAGTGCTGGGATTACAGGTGTGAGCCACAGCGCCTGGTCAGCATGGCTTCTTTCCTGTTTATAAAGCAAAATTGTCTTCCTTACAATATTAACAATTGTTTACTAAATTTAATAAGTGTTAAGCATTATGTTAAATTGATTAATCATAATTATTATTTGAACTCAAATGTTGTGATCAGGCTTATGAAGTATGACTGAAAATGTAAAATACTGACAAAAATGATTTAAAAATATTTAGGTTGAATGCTTTTTTGATATGTTCTGGTATTCAGTAGAACAACCATTCTAAGAAACACTAAGACAAATGATGTAAAAGTTTATAATGGGAAGATCAACACATATTTACTTATAAAATAGAGCATCACCTTTTCTAAAGGGCTTCTGATCCTCTAAACTAATTTCCAAATGTCTTTTAGGTCATTATATCACAAGTAATGCAATGATCTTTGAAAATAGAGGAAGTCTTTTTTTCAGTGCTAACCTCAGAATATTTCAGGTCAATGTCGCTGAACTATCCATCTTAGTTTCTAAGTATTGAGGCTGCTCCTAAGAGGGAAATACTGAAGGAAGGCTGAGATGCCTGGGAAGTGCATCACAAGTCAGAGATGACTCAACAGTGAAGGTCCATCTTTCTTCCCTGATTGTCTTACATTTCTCTCTGAATGCTGATTTTGTTGCTCTTGTTGTTGTTCTCGGATAGTCTTTTACTCCTTGAGTGATAGAAAGCAACTACCTGGAGAGTTAATTATAGGGTCACTGAATTGCCATTGCCGTCAATTGGAAATTTGGTGCCAGTGAGCTCAGATGTCTGCAGACCACACCCTAAGTAGTTAGTAGTATGTAATGATTGGTAATGTATAAATTTGTATCACTTCCCAGGAACGGGGGAGAGCTTTCTTTATTCAACAAAGCCTATACGAAACATGGATGTGATGCCTAGCGGGGTGAGGCATCCATTTGTGACCATAATGATGTTAGAAATTTTGAGAGAAAAAATTATATAAATGTACATATGTTGTGTATTTTTTAAATTTCTGTTTAGAATTGTGGTGCTGTGTAAGTGCAAATTATGCAATGTAACTACAGGTGGTGTCACTAGCTGTAAGGCCAGCCACTTGATAGTCGTCTGGAGCTGGCAGTTGTCAGCAGCTGAAATTCTGAAAACAGATACAATGGCATGCAAACTATTAATGTCTGTGTGTTCCTAGACTTTCATTTCCTTCTACCTGCTAAGAATATTCTGGTTTCTCTGGTCCACTATGTTCTTTCTGCATCCTGTGAGGGCGCTGCTGCGACAGAAGAATTTGTTTTTTGGCTTTTGTGATGCAGAATCAGAAGTCAGGGATGATGGCAGAAAGGAAAATAATTTTGCAACTGGGTCAATGGAAAAGGTTTTTTCTCCCTTTTTAGAAAATGTGTTAAAAGAATTATGAGAACAGTGGTAACATATGAGGAAAATGGATATGAGGTTAAGAAAAGCAAATGTGGCAGTTGTTGACGGGGGCCGTCTGACCCCTCAACTAGCTACTTCATTCCTTGCCTTTCTCTATCTTAAGACTAGAAAACAAAGTGCTCAATATCTGTAGCTCCCTTGCAGGTAGGAGTGGCCATGAGCATGATTTTGGACAGTAAAGTATGGGCTAAAGTATATCGGCGGGGAAGGCGGCAGATTACATTTTGTTATTGTTGCTATTTTTAGAGACAGGATCTCACTCTATTGCCCAGGCTTGAGTACAGTGGTGCTATCATAACTCACTGCAGCCTTGATCTTCTGGGCTCAAGTGATCTTCCTGCGATAGCCACCCAAGGCTGTGGGACTTCCTGCATTAGCCACCCAAGGCTGTGGCAGGCACACGCCACCATGCCTAGCTGGATTTTAATTTTTATTTTTAGTAAAGACAGGGACTCGCTATGTTGCCCAGGCTGGTCTTGAACTCCTCAGTTCAGATGATCTTCCACCTCAGCCACCCAAAGTGCTGGGATAAAATTACATTTCTGAGTAATGCTTGTAGAAGAAAGCTCTTAGTCCCTTTCCATTTTATTCCTCTATCATCCTGAAGTATGATAATGGAAGTCACTTGCCAAGGATGGCAAAATAGGGAGACAGAGGAGCAATGCTGTGGACTCCTGCGTTGAACCTGGTTGCCTACATTTGAACATTGTGAAGACAAAAGAAAACCTTATGCGTCATGTAGCATTCTGGCAGACACAGATGAAGGACCAAAACACTTAAAAAAATAATTCAATGAAGACACTATTTACAGAGATGGTAACAAGAATAAGGAAACTATGGTAGACAGGGTTCTCCAGATAAATGAAACCAAGAGAAGATTTTTAAAAAGAGGTTTATTATAAGGAATTGTTCACACAATTATGGAAGTCCAATGTTTGCAGAGCCAATGTCCCAGTTCCAGTCCAAAGGCTGGATGGCTACTGTAGAGCCACAAAAGGCTAATGTTTCAGCTTGAAGGTTGTCAGGAAGGGGAATTCTCTGTTCCTTGGGAAGGGTCAGACTTTTGTTTTATGCAGGGGTTCAGATGATTGGATGGGAGCCACCCACACTATGGAGGATAGTCCACTTTACTCAGTTTATTGATTTAAATGTTAATCTCATCCAGAAATACCTTCATAGAAAACCTGGAATAAAGTTTGACCAAATACCTGGGAATCCCATGGCCCAGCCAAGTTTATATATAAAATTAACCATTATAGGCACTGACAAGAGATGATGCAACAACCAGAGACAAGAAATGCTGGGAAGTGAGACAGATTAAGGAAGGAAACAGTGTTCACTGGAGCCAGCAAGAACTTAAGTCAGAGAAGAGGAGCTGCCTCATATAACTTGTGGCTAATTATTGCAGCACTGTTCACAATAGCAAAGACTTGGAACCAACCCAAATACCCATCAAATATAAACTGAATATAGACTGGATAAAGACAATGTGGCACCTATACACCATGAAATACTATACAGCCATAAAAAAGGATGAGTTCATGTCCTTTGCAGGGAAATGGATGAAGCTGAAAACCATCATTCTCAGCAAACTGACACAAGAACAGAAAACCAAACACCTCATGTTCTCACTCATAAGTGGGTCTTGAACAATGAGAACATGGAAACAGGGAGGGGAACATTACACACCAGGGCCTGTTGGGGGGTGAGGCGGATAGGGGAGGAATAGCAGGGGGTGGGGGGATTGTGGAGTGCTAACATTAGGAGAAATACCTAATGTAGATCACAGCGGGGATGGATGCAGGAAACCACCATGGCATGTGTATACCTGTGTAACAAATCTGCACGTTCTGCACATGTACCCCAGAACTTAGAGTAGAATTAAATAAATAAATAAATAAATAAATAAATAAATAAAAGTGCTAGGACCATAGGAGACTGTTATAAATTCATATACTTACTCATATACGTTTTATTCAGCAACTCCTATGTGCTAGGTAGGCACTGGACTACAAACACCATCACTATCCACCTAGCACTTGGAGTGTGGCAGATGATGGCATGTGAACAGATAACTACAGCAAGGTGTGACAAAGGCTATGATAAGAAGAACAGACACAAAGAGAACAGGTAGTCAGGATGCCTAACCTAGATTTGGGGATCCCAGAAGGACTTCTTAGAACAAACTTTATACAAATTGAGAATAGACTGACAAGTTTTCAGTGAACTATTTAGAGTTAAGAGGGAGGAAACAGAATGTTCGAAGAAGAGGGGAATGGTACCAAGACCTGAAGACATCAAAAGCAAGGAACTCATTGAATCCTGCAAATGATGGAATGGATACCAAGTATCTATTTTGTCCTGTGACTTGTGGAACTTTTTTGTGTGTGTGCTTGGAAAATTAATTTAAAGTTATTTGGTTTTCTCGCATGATTCTTTTTCCTTAACTAGACATTCTGCATCACGATTAAAAAAGCAAAATAAAAAAAGAAAAAAGAAAGTAATTGCCAGAATTACAGCTTTGCCAGTAAGGGCTGGAAGTAAGAGAATGGTGGGGAAGACGCTATGGGAGATTAATATGTGATCCTTTCTCTTCCCACCTCTATTAGTCCATTCTCACATTATAGAAATACTACCTGAGACTGGGTAATTTGTAAAGGAAAGAGGTTTAATTGACTCACAGTTCCACATGGCTGGGGAGGCCTCAGGAAACTTACAATTATGGCTGAAGGCAAAGGGAAAGCAAGGACCTTTTTACATGGTGGCAAGAGAGAGAAGAGTGAGTGAAGGAGGAACTTGCCAAACACTTATAAAACCATCCATATCTCATGAGAATTCACTCACTGTCATGAGAACAGCGTGGGGGAAACCGCTCCCATAATCCCATCATTTTCCACCAGGCTTCTCCCTGAACACCTGGGGATTACAATTCACCATGAAACTTGGGTAGGGACACAAAGCCTAACCATGTCACCACCTAACCCAGAGGTCAGACTTTAATAATTTAAACCACTCTGTACATAGTTTCTAATTTAAAAAAAGCCAGTACAGTCTAATTAAACCACTCAATCAAATGCAATCCTGACTGATACAGCAGGTGATAAACGAGTTATTTCAGTTAATGGACTTCTTGATTAAAACTCTATTATGAATGACGGCTTCATATGTGTTGCCAAATTAAGGCACTCTGCAGTACAGTTTACCAGGAACATGTGGTTTACTTTATTTACATAGCAAATAGTTTTTCATGTATTATTTAATAAATTTTGTTATTTAAATAAAACACATTATATATATGTCTTGTATATTTTTTGAGAATGGAAATTTAATATCTCCATATTGCCAAGGGAATGGTGAACAAATATTTAAATAAAATTGATTTGAAGAGGAACCAAATTAGTAGCCTTCTTCTGGTACCATGTCTAAGGTTCTAGCTAAAGCCTACATTATGCATTGAGGTGTTTCTACCATCCAAAGAGATAGTTCAGTTTGTGGTTGGATTACATATGATCCAGCTAATGATGGTGCTTTCCTTGAGGTGACTGAGGAAATAATTAGTTCATTTTTGCAGAAATCAGTACATGAGGCAGTGTCTGGATCTTCTAAGACTCCAGCTGACTCCTGTGGACCATGAAGTTTGGCTCAGGATCTAGAACCTCTGGGGTTGGGGATGCAGCCATTCTACCCATGGAGAAAAGAGACTATGTTTTCCATAATACCACAAGTAGTTCATCTGATGGGTGGACAAATACATTGATTCAACCATAAACTCACAATTTCTGCTTGAAAGAAGATGTGTGATATGGTCTGGCTCTGTCCCCACCCAAATCTCACCTTGAATTGAAATAATTCCCATGTGTCAAGGGCAGGGCCTTGAGGTGGAGAGAACTGAATTATGGGGCTGTTTCCCATATGCTGTTATCGTGGTAGTGAGTAAGTCTTACAAGATCTGATGTTGTTACAAATGGGATTCCCCTGCAGAGGCTCCCTTTCCTGCTGCCATGTAAGATGTGATTTTGTCCTCTCATTCACCTTCCACCATGACTGTGAGGCCTCCCCAGTCATGTGGAACTGTGAGCCAATTAAACATCTTTCCTTTATAAATTACCCAGTCTCTGTTTTTTTTTTCTTCTTTTTTTGAGGTGGAGTTTCAGTCTGTCACCCAGGCTTGGCTAATATTTGTATTATTATTATTTTTTTTAGTAGAGATGGGGTTTCACTATGTTGGCCTGGCTGGTCTTGAATTTCTGACCTCAGTTGGTCTGCCCTCCTTGGCCTCCCAAAATGCTGGGATTACAGGCATGAGCCACTATGCCTGGCCTCTGGTATATCTTTGTTAGTAGCGTAAGAACAGACTAATATAGTAAATTGGTAACAGGAGTGGGGTGCTGCAGTAAAGATAACTGAAAATGTGAAAAGGGCTTGGCAAGTGGGTAACGGGCAGAGGTTGGAACAGTTTGGAGGGCTCAGAAAAAGAAAGGAAAATGTGGGGAAGTTGGGAAGTTCCTAGAGACTTGTTGAATGGCTTTGAGCAAAATTCTGATGGTGATATGGATGATAAAGTCCAAGCTGAGGTGGTTTCAGACAGGTAAAAAACTTGGGAACTGGACCCTTGTTATGCTTTAACAAAGAGGCTGGCAGCACTTTGCCCCTACCCTAGAGATCTGTGGAACTTTGAACTTGACAGAGATGACTTAGGGAAATAATCTCTAGAGAAATTTCTTTCATCTGGCAGAAGAAATTTCTTCTTTTTAAAAAATATTTTATTTTCAGTAGCAACTTTATTGAAATGTAATTCACATACCATATAATTAACTCATTTAAAGTGTACAATTTGTTGGCTTTTAGCATATCACAAAGTTATGAAACTGTTAACTACAATTAATTTTAGAACATTTGATGACCTCAAAAAGAAACCCCCTTACCCTTTAGCTGACATCGCCAAGCTACTCATTCATCCCAGCCCTAAGAAAACCACTGATTTATTCTGTCTGTATAGATTTGTTATTCTGGACATTTAATGTTAATAAAATCATATAATTTGTGATCTTTTGTTACTGGATTCTTCCACTTACCATAAACTTTTCAAAGTTCATCTAGGTTGTAGTATGTATCAGTACTTCATTCCCTTTTATGGCTGAAGAATCTTCCATTATATAAAAAACATCATATTTGTTTATTTGTTCATTGGCCAAAAGACATTTGGTCAATTCCACTTTGAGGCACTAGGAATAATGGTGCTATGGATATTTGTGTAAAATTGTAAAACAATTTTAAACAATTTTTAAAATTGTTTTAAAAATTATACTTTAAGTTCTGGGGTGCATGTGCAGAACATGCAGGTTTGTTACATAAGTATACATGTGCCATGGTGGTTTGCTGCATCCGTCCCCTTGTCATCTACATTAGGTATTTCTCCTTGTTATCCTTCCCCAATCCACCCAACCCCTATTATTCCTCCCTTAGCTCCCAACCCTGACAGGCTTTGGTGTGTGATTTTCCCTTCCCTGTGTCCTTGTGTTTTCATTGTTCAATACCCACTTATGATTGAGAACATGCGGTGTTTGGTTTTCTGTTCTTGTGTCAGTTTGCTGAGAATGATGGCTTCCAGATTCATCCATGTTCCTGTAAAGGACATGAACTCATCCTTTTTTATGGCTGCATAGTATTCCACGGTGTATAGGTGCCACATTGTCTTTATCCAGTGATAGGCATTTGGGCTGGTTCCAAGTCTTTGCTATTGTAAACAGTGCTGCAATAAACATACGTGTGCATGTGTCTTTATAACAGAATGATTTATAATCCTTTGGGTATATACCCTGTAATGGGATTGCTGGGTCAAGTGGTATTTCTATTTCCAGGTCCTTGAGGAATTCCCACACTGTCTCCTGCAATGGTTGAACTAATTTACACTCCCACCAACAGTGTACAAGCGTTCCTATTTCTCCACATCCTCTCCAACATCTGTTGTCTCCTGATTTTTTAATGATCACCATTCTAACTGGCGTGAGGTGGTATCTCAATGTGGTTTTGATTTGCACAACTCTAATGACCAGTGATGATAAGCATTTTTAAAAATATGTTTGTTGGCTGCATAAATGTCTACTTTTGAAAAGTATTTATTCATATCCTTTGCCCACTTTTTGATGGGGTTGTTTGTTTTTTTCTTGTAAATTTGTTTAAGTTCTTTGTAGATTCTGGATATTGGCCCTTTGTCAGATAGGTAGATTGCAAAATTTTTTTCCCATTCTGTTGGTTGCTGGTTCACTCTAATGATTGATTGTTTCTTTTGCTGTGTAGAATCTCTGGAGTTCAATTAGATCCCATTTGTCTATTTTGGCTTTTGTTGCTGTTGCTTTTGGTGTTTTAGTCATAAAGTCCTTGCCTATGCCTATGTCCTGAATGGTATTGCTTAAGTTTTCTTCTAGGGTTTTATGGTGTTAGGTCTTACATTTAAGTTATTAACCCATCTTGAGTTAATATTTGTATAAGGTATAAGGAAGGGTTTCAGTTTCAGTTTTCTGCCTATGGCTAGCCAGTTTTCCCAGCACCATTTATTAAATAAGGAATCCTTACCCCATTTCTTGTTATTGTCAGGTTTGTCAAAGATCAGGTGGTTGTAGATATGTGGCATTATTTCTGAGGCCTCTGTTCTGTTCCATTGCTCTATATCCCTGTTTTGGTACCAGGACCATGCTGTTTTGATTACTGTAGCCTTGTAGTATAGTTTGAAGTTAGGTAGTGTGATGCCTACAGCTTTGTTTTTTGTTTTGTTTTGTTTTGTTTTTGCTTAGGATTGTCTTGGCTATGTGGGCTCTCTTTTGGTTCCATATGGAGTTTAAGGTGGTTCATTTCCAATTCTGTGAAGAAAGTCAATGGTAGCTTGATGAGGATAGCATTGAATCTGTAAATTACTTTGGGCAGTATGGCCATTTTCATGATATTGATTCTTCCTAATCATGAGCATGGAATGTTTTTCCAGCTGTTTGTTTCCTTTCTTATTTCCTTGAGTAGTGGTTTGTAGTTCTCCTTGAAGAGGTTCTTCTCATCCCTTGTTAGTTGTGTTCCTGGGTATTTTATTCTTTTTGTAGCAATTGTGAATGGGAATTCACTCGTGATTTGGCTCTCAGTTAGTCTGTTATTGGTGTATAGGAATGCTTGTGATGTTGGCACATTGATTTTGTATCCTGAGACTTTGCTAAAGTTGCTTATCAGTTTAAGGAGATTTTGGGCTGAGACGATGGGGTCTTCTAAAGATAAAATTATGTCATCTGCAAATAGAGAAAATTTAACTTCCTCTTTTCCTAATTGAAAACGCTTTATTTCTTTTTCTTGCCTAATTGTTGTGGCCAGAACTTCCGATCCTATGTTGAATAAGAGAAGCGAGAAAAGGGCATGCTTGTCTAGTGTCAGTTTTCAAAGGGAATGCTTCCAGTTTTTGCCTGTTCAGTATGATGTTGGCTGTGGGTTTGTCATAAATAACTCTTATTATTTTGAGATACATTCCATCAATACCTAGTTTATTGAGAGTTTTTAGCATAAAGGGCTGTT